AAAAAAAAAAAAAAAAAAAAAAAAAAATACAGAATGTTTTAGCTGTTCAGTGGAAATCAATTTCAATGAATATTTTTAAAAAACAAGAAAAGAAAATAAAAGATAAAAGACTTATGAAAGAATATATGTATATAATATTTATATATGCAAATATAATTATGTATATATATATATTCTTTACTTACACCCTGTATGCCAGAATAAATTTACGACATATATAAAAGTATTGTATTCGTGAAGTTTCACTGGATTCTTCATGATGTCATCGTGGTTACTAATTTCTGGGAGGAAATTATAGAGCTAATTTAAGAATAGGCTGTAAATGTGTATAATGCAAGTAGCAAAGTTATGCATATGTATGTATACATAAGATTCAAAAAAACAAGGAATATAAGAAGAAACCCCGATTTGTAAGGATTTTATCATAAAACGTTCCCCTAAAAACATTAACGGTCCCTTTTTTGAGAATAATTTCACTAATTTCATGCACATATATATTTATATTTTGTTATCAATCTTGTTCATTCTCTTGACACGTTTTTTTCTCGTGTATCATGTATGTAGATCATAGAAAACTATTTTTCAGTGATGTCACAGGTACGAATCGTATATAAGAAGAAATCATTATAAGATTACTGTTCTGTAAAAATCAGCGCAACAAACACCTATCATGTCTGCCTCCCTTGTACTTGTACATTAATTTCTATCTTATAAATAAAATTCACGAAAAAAACATTCATTCACCATTTTTTGTTCTCATTCATATTCTAACATATATCTATCGATTGAGCCTTTGATATACATATTCATACTTAGATAGAATCATCCTAATCTTTAATTTTTTCACCTAACTTTTTGTACATATATTTAATACAATATATATATATATATATTTAGAATCCTATTGGTACTATTAATAATGTTGCGAGTAATATCGAATAAAATTCATATTTAATTGTACAATTTTATCCATTTTCAACGAAATACACTATTTAATTATTTTTTCGTATTCTTTCGATATTTTAACAATTTACGATTAAATCGGTTTACGAGTTTAGTACAATGTCAAAATAACAAATACATGTACATATATAATCTCGAACTTCTCGATCGAATATAAGAAGATATTCGAAATTTCTTATATATAATTGACATTATTACGTATAAAATATAAACATAAAAAAATCTTAAAAATAGATTCTTAAATGAATATTTATCTTTTAAAATTAATAATAGAATTAAAACGTTATCTTAAAATAAATAACAAAACTATATACACATATATACATTTATCGATTACAAGAATTAAAAATATAA